TGATGTAAGAGTTTGTGTTTATACATGACAATCAAAACCAATTTTCTACTATTCTTCCCTCTTTTCCAAATAACATTGGATGTTCTGTGTCTACTCAGTGTGAAATGGCTAATTTTTATACAATTTGAGATTGTATTTTTGCAAACCTTAGTATTTCTGGAGCATACAAATATTTGCCTCCTCCATTCTATCAAAATTATTATACAGTATTGTATTTCCCATTTTAACATGAGTTTTGTACAAGGCCTTTGTTATTTGTATTTATTTATTAATTTACATCCCACCTCAAAGAAAATCTACGGTAGCAACTTATCTCCCATTTTTTCTTGTAACAACAATCCTGTGAGGTAGCTTGGGCTAAGAGAGAATGATTGACATCCAATGGATTTTTATGGTGAATGATGGGCTAATCCAGGGTGTATCCAGTGTGAATCAGTTTGGTAAAGTGGTTCAAGTACAGACTTCTCTTGAGGAGAACCCCAGCTAGGTGATGTTGGGCTGGTTACTCTTTTTCAGCCCAACTCACCACACAGTCTTGTGGTGGGGAAAATAGGAGGAGAAAGGAATATCAGGTATACTCACCACCTTCAGTTATGTATAAACTTAACAAAGGTAGCATGTAAATAAAATAAAGTAAATAAGTAAATACACTTTATAAGCAAACAAAAATGTATTTATTATTCCTTCAATAATTCTAGCTACCAGAATAAAAAACCAGTCATTATCTGATGTTTAGAAAAGTGAAACGGGTCAACAACCACAAAGTAATAGCTGCTAAACAGTTTGCTGCAACAGAAGAACTAAATAGAGGAAAACATCTATTAGCGTAAAATATAAAATGCTTATATTTTTTAAAAATGAAATAGAATGTTAGGCAAAACAGGAAAAAGGGGAAGCTAGGAAGAGGAGAAAAAGAGAATTTTCTCTTAGCAGCAGTGGTTTCTCTCACACATCTGTTGGCCCTTGGTTTAAAGTACGAGCATCTATTTTATTGTGTGATTTGTTTCTGAACTACTGCTGGGAGATCTTCAGGCCAAGCAGGAAGAGAAGCTGCTTTTCGCAGCAGACTCACATTAGAACATTAAAGGAAGAATTATGTGGGCAGTTGGGTTGTTCACTCTAGCTAGTTTGTCAAACCAGAAATAAGCTATTCCAGAGGAACATTTCTCCCATTTACTTATGGTACACTTGTAAGAAGAAATGCATGTGATAAGGGATACTCACTTTTATTTTATTTTTTTAAAAAATAACAATCCATAGGCTGCCTCACGTAGCAAAAGGTTAGGTGCACAGTTAAAATGTCTTTGTTCAAAAACCAAAATAAAATCTCAAGTGAACAGAGCTCAGGATATTTTCCACAACTATTAAGTCCCCGTATCTTCATTAAAAAAAAAAAAAAACCACCTGATTTTAAATGGTTAATCTAAACATTCATTGCTTTTTTGCTGCTCAGAATTGTAGTTAGAATGTATTAAAATGCTATTAGCATTTCACTGTCTATCATGCAAAAGGTGGTTTGACTTTCTTAATGCATTAAATCCTTTGAAACAGATAACGTGATCTGATCTGATCTGAACTCTTATTTGTCACTTTAGCATCTGATGATTTAATCAGCCATTTGTACTTCTGTTTCTTTTTCAGAAAAGGGTATATTAAGCAATTGGTATGTACAATATTATAGCTGTTCACGCTTATAAAAAAAGGAATATTTAATGGAAATCCTAATAAGTACAGCTGTAGTATGGTTGTATGGTTGTATTTTGATTTATAGAAGATTCAGTCAAAATGATTTCTAGGAGATTGATAAACCATGTAGTAACATTATTTGGAAAGTGGGGATAGTTACAGAGAAACTCTATTAATATAAGCATAAGCACCCTAAACACATTTGTTATGATTATTATAGCTATGTTAAAATGAACTACAGATAGTCCTCGACTTACAACTATTTCTTCAGTGACTGTTCAAAGTTACAGCAGCACTGAAAAAAGTGACTTATGATTGTTTTTCACACTTAGAATAGAATAGAATAGAATAGAATAGAATAGAATAGAATAGAATAGAATAGAATAGAATA